TTTTTGTCTTTTGTCTTTTTCCGTGTCCGGCAACGGATCGCAACCCTCAGTGTTGCCCCCGTACCGGACCGGGGACCGGCAACGGAATCGCAACCCTCGGTGCTGCTCCCGCGCCTCGCTCAGCCAGTGAGCGGGAACCGGTCTGTATGTGGGATCCGAACCCTCGGGCGGGAGCGCCACCGCGCTTCCCAAGCGGCGCACTTATCCAGTGCGCCACCGGGCCGGCCCCTAAATTTTATTTTAATTTAAATTGCCACATGTGACAATGGCTACTGTATTACTGTACAGCGTGGTCCTAGGAAGATTTGTTGGCAGAACGAAGATAGTTGAGGGTCCCCAAAAGCAACAAAAATGGAAGAGTGAGCAGGAGCTTGATAGTGTGGTTCCACATGCCACCCTCCACAGTGCTGGGGTTTGACATCCCCATGTTTTACTTCCCATTTTTCTCTTCTCTCCCCTTGCTACCCCGGATTAACATTAGTCTGGTAAATATCTACAGATTTATTATGGGTTGTCATTTACAAGTTTGGATTCTATGTCTGTTCTTTGTGGGTGTTGAGAACACCCAGGATTTCACCTTTTGAGTTGGTGGGTATAAGTCTGAGGTTGTAATTTAAACTCTGGATGCTAGATACATAAGCTAGTACTGAGAGCTGAGTTTGTGCTTAGTTGTTATCTTTTGCCTCATCTCAGAGTTCTCTAATATTCATATCTCTTCAAGTACTACACAGAATCTGAATATGATTTGAGTAAATTTTAAGTAAAATTTTACATGTAGTATGGATGATACCATTTTAAGAGAAAAGTTTGGAATCTCTACATTCATTCTGTGAAGCTGTTTACACATATTGTAGTCCTTTACTTAATACTGTCTTTGTGTTTTTGATGGTTAGTGTGCATGTGCTTCAATCAAAAGATTTAAAAGTCTATCCTGTCTAAATCCATACAGAGTTAGAGCAGACAGTGACTCATCACTTTGTAGAAAGTATATAAGGCCTTTATGAGAGTTGCTGTTAGTTGTAATGATAGTATCTATGAGAGATACCTGAATTCTTAAGATTTATAAGTAAAATAAGTCAAAACCTCAACTTTAAGCTATCACAGTTTGTTATAAATGTTTATACTGGAGAAATAGTAGTGAATGGACTCTAACATATGTTCCTCTCATTTACCAGTGTAAGAACACTCTTTACTGTCCGTATGTATGTTCCCTGGTCCATATGTATCTTCCCTGGTGATCAATATATTATTCGAAATGTTTTTTCATGGCATGGCCAGTACTTTCTATTTTCTTTAACCTTCATGTACTGGAATGACCTCTTATTTTCAGTAATGGGTAGATCACCATAATTCTTCATTGAGTAGCTTAATATCTCCCTAACTTTTGTCTCTTTTCTAATGTTTGCTTATTAGCCATTAATAGGGTTTTTCCACTAGGGTTTTTCCTAGCATATTTGCTTTGTAATCGACTACCTTACTAGGTCCTCGTATTACTTCATATAGTGTTTTAGTTTGTTCTTTTGGATTTTCAAGTAAACTGTCATATTGCCTAAATGTATTAGTGCGTTTGCCTCCTAACTTTATGTCTTTGAAGCCACTTTCAAGTCCTCTAGTCAGTGTCACTAGAAAAGATACTGTCTAGTGCTTGTCAAGATTTTTACATTGCCCTTTCAGAAAGAATATTTCATCATTTCCGTAATGGAAAATTCTATTTCTGTCACAGAACAAAACTAAAGAACCAAGAATATGAAACTTTAGATCATTTGGAGTGTGATCTGAATTTAATGTTTGAAAATGCCAAACGCTATAATGTTCCCAATTCAGCTATCTACAAGCGAGTTCTAAAATTGCAGCAAGTCATGCAGGTATGACTTCTTAGTTTTGCTAAGTTTGTCATATGTATGATTGAAATAATTTTACATTTTGAGTGTGTTCTTTTAAGATGTATGATTCCCCCCCAGCAATATCACTTCATTTCAATCACAAATATTACTGATTTTTTAATTTTTTTTTTGTTTTTTTGGCAGCTGGCCGGTACAAGGATCCAAACCCTTGACTTTGGTGTTACAAGGCTGTGCTCCAACCAACTGAGCTAAATGGCCAGCCTGAATATTTTTTTAGAATTGTAAATTCTACTCCCTTATAGAGTAGAAATAATAGTTTAGATAGGGTTAGCCTTATGAGTGGAGGAAGCAGGGGTTTGTCCCTGGGGGTTTACCTTCTAATCACAGATGATATTCTGTCATTTAGGTTTTATTCCTTTGGTTCTAGACTTTGTCTCTGTTAAGGTATGGCTGGTCCTAGGAGAAAGGACATCTGAAAGCCAATTAATCATTTTATAGTGTCCATGAGTTTATCAAATCCTCTCTGAGAGCACACTTTGGAGGGCATCTGAAGTCATGGGTTATCTGGGGATTTTAAGACAAAAAGGTAGACATGAAATACAAATTGGGTCTGATAGTTTTTGGTAGAATCTAACTGAAAAGCAATCTCAGAGCACTGAAGCAACAAAGGCAATTTCATATCACCCATAGGATCTTCGTTTTGTGTGATCAACACTATAGTCCTTAGTGCTTTGAATTTAGGGTATTTCCTTTTCGTTGGTCTGTATATGTATTTCCTAAGCCTTCTGTGCTTGGACTTTCAGCTCTGTTTGGCAGAAGGTCTTTAAAATTCCATGTGTTGAAAAGTAGATCTTCTTTCAGCTCTCACGTTAAACTTTCTTAGCCACACTGCTCCTTAGAAGTCAAGGGTACCAAAGGCCCTCTTTGAATTGTCTTTACTTAAATATGGCCACCAGAGCAGGATGCCCCAACAACTTGCCTCAGTGCTTTTAACCAGTTGGCACCGTTGTAGTCTGGATCTATTTTTTTGGCCTACTTTTCCTTCAGGCAGGCTGTTGTTAAATTGAGTTATTGAAAATGTTTAATGACTCTTTAATTTTGTGCATCCTACATGTGTTCGTACCTTTCTGAGTGAATCTTATATGTCTAGCTCCTTAACATTCATATATTCATAGGAGTATTCAGCAGAGTGAGCTTGACTCCCATGATCTGCTCTGTTTTAGGCAAAGAAGAAAGAGCTTGCCAGGAGAGATGACATCGAGGATGGTGACAGCATGATCTCTTCAGCCACCTCTGATACTGGTAGTGCCAAAAGAAAGAGGTATATATTCTTCTCATAGCTGGAGACATCTCAGTTTCTATTCTATGTTTTAGATAAGTGTAGAAAAAAACTTTTTTAACTATTAAGTATGAATTCTAAGTTTTAAATATTTGATAACATATCTTTTAGAATTCATCTGTAAATTGTTGATTAGCTTTTTTTGTTCAAGTACTATATTGCTTTTAGATGACACAGATAAAAATGAGTACATGAAAAAGTTCATGAAAAGATTCCTATTATCTTTAAATTCTATTTTTCAACCAACTTTTTGAAGTATCCTCATATGTAGCTTGGCAAAACCATGTTATTCAGGTTTTCTTTTTTAATGTGGCATTTAAAGAGTGCCAGTTAAATCTAATGTAGGTAATTTCTACATGGTGAATTACAAAGATGAAGTATGAATTAGGAAAGGTAAGGAGAAATTCAGTACTACTCTTGCAGAGAAGTAAGTCCTTGCTCTTACCCCTGTGTTTTTCCTTGTTAACCTGATCTTTATTTGGTATTTTAAGAATGTCAAATTGGCTGATTTGTTAGCTCAGTTGGTGAGAGCTGATAACACCAAAGTCTGGAGTTCAATTCCTGTACCAGCCAGCAAAAAAAAAATGTCAGATTGTAAAATACCAAAATCATAAATTGTTACGGTTCGTAAAATGTTAAGCTAGATATTTAGGGGTTTTTTTCTTTCTAACCTTTCACTCAACTTCCCTAACGCTTTCTTCCTGTCATGGGTTTTGTGGAAGGGGACCTTACTGTGAGATTCTGAAACCAGGCTCCTATCAGGAATCATGCAAGACCATCTCTTTTGTCTATGCCTCCTACATGGAATTTCTCTGGCCTTATCATGGTGGAGCGCCGTGTTCTCCCTCAAGCTTAACTGTCTTAACATCTTTGCGGAATTCCAGGGAAGATACCTTAAACAAAGCAGCAGCTAATCATTAATAGAATGGCTTGACAGATTCAAAATTGAATGAAGAAGTCATTACTAACTGTTGACACAGTTCTCTACATGCATTAAGAGATCCACTAAGATCAAAAGATTTTAAAAAGTGATTTAGAAAAGACAAGCTGTCTTATCTTTTCCTCTTATAGATATTATTTGGGAGAATTTTTTTTAGCTTTGAAAATAACTTTGCTGTGCTGTGCCATGGTAACTAAATTGATTGGTATACCCTGAGATGTGAGTCACCTCCATTACTGGCCTATGAATTTCATCCTTCCCAGTTCTTAATTCCTTGTTATACCAGGGACAACGGAGGAAAAATGTGAAACCAGATCAGAGACATCAAAGCAAGAACATCTTTGAGTATAATTATATAACTCTACTACAGCATCACCTGTGTTTTCCAGATCAGTCACCAATCAAAGATAGAAACTTCTCAGGCAAAAGAAGGTAATGGAGAGAAAAGTGATGGTACAATTAGTGCCAACACTGGATGAAAAGAGAGATCTTAAATTAGTTTAGTGTTAAGAAAACAGTTCCAAGGAAGCATTAGCCCAGGTGAGATCCTTAAATGTACATATTTCTGTACATTTTTTGTTTGTGGGGCATCAAGTAGATTAAATGGAAGTTATTGCCCTAAAATCTTCTATAAAAAGAAAACTAAGTATTATGTTCTTGAAATAATAGAATCCTAGTTCAGACAAAAAGCCTCTTTATGGACAAGTTTCCTAGGAAGCATTTTATAAAATAAAGTAAAAAGCACAAATAAGAGAAGAACAAATAAAAATCATCTGCTAAAGGAATAAAAGAACAAACCTGGGTTTGAAATGTAGCATGAGTAGGTGTTAAAAGATTGAGAGAGTTAAGTCCTGTACTTGGACAATGACAAAGAAAACAGCATAATGAGCCCTGTAGAAGGTAGTTATGTTGAGAGGCTTTGGTAATAAGAAATAGACTTTTCAGAAGTCAGGTAAACAGCAACGTGTAGAGGGTTAAGTTTAGCTTGGCCAGAGAAGTCAGGGCCAAGTTTTTCCAAGTACTATTGTACTTGACTCCTAAGTATTAAATATGATTCCATCTTTGCCTTATTTTTTTCAAAACAAAGAGTGTGAGAAAAATTGAATGTGGGTATGTTCTTTTCATTCTGGGAGTGCATTCTTTCCCCCCACCTCTCTACCCCCAAATCCACCTCTGTCTTCTGTGTTAAAATGTTCCAATATTATTATCTTTTAGCCTTTGGACTGAATAATTCTCTTTTCCTCAACCATATTTGGTTTATGCATGACCCTCCAATGTTGCTTGTTTTGTTTCTCTTCACATGTAATGTTTGTTTCTGCTTTCCCAGGAACACTCATGACAGTGAGATGTTGGGTCTCAGGAGGCTATCCAGGTGTGCAGTCCTTTTTTACACATAAACATATTTTTAAAAGTGTAACTCTTCCATGGCATGGTCAGTATTGATTAGGTGAAAAGTGAAGCCATAGCATGTGAAAAAAAGTCTTTATTTGGGTGCCAGTTTATTTTATGAATAAAGAAAGTAGTACAATGTAGAAGTCTAGTTAGTAAAATAAATTCAGAGTTAGTTGACCTAGATATGTTCAGAAGTAGCCTTGATTTGTTGTTAGCTTTGCCAGGGGCAAAAGCCCCTTCACCAGTCATTTTGGCTTTGCTTCTGTAGCAAAAGGTAGAGGTTGCTAATATGGTGGCATTGTCAGTGACCAGGGTCTGGTGGGTGCTGATTTCCTTTCAGGGATGTCTTTTACCGACTGGGGGCGATGGAGGGATTAAAACCAACATTGACAGTCCAAGTGATGTCAATGCATGTGGGACACCTGTGCATTGTGTTAATGCTTCTTGAGCATGAATACATTTCCTTAGTCTCTGATTTCATCCATGTCTTATTTCTTTAAAAGTGTCCATTCTTTTGCATGTTACTTATGATTTGAAATACAGCCTATGAGTTGCCATGTCATAGTGCTAGTAATAATTGTGTAGTGCTTTTGTTTTCACATTTGCCATTTGACATTCACGAAGTGTCAGTTGCTTACAGAACACCAGACTGTTCTTTATAGGTTGTAAAGGAGAACATTCTGTCATCTCTTCTACCTGGAACTTATAGACCAGGGAAAGAGACAGGTTGAAACAAATGAAATTATATGGAAGCAGTGTAGTAAAATGATTGCATAAGGTACACAGCTAACAAGCTGGCCGGTTGGCTCAATTGGTTAGAGCATGGTGCTGATAACACCAAAGTACAGGGCCAGTCGCTAAAAAAAAAGAAAGTGTAGACACAGCTGTGTAGTTATATAGAAATGTTGTGTGATTGCCTAAATAACTCTAGGAAAGATTATTTCCCTGTCATGCTTTTCCTTGAAAGTTAAATGTTCCAAAGTTATCTACATTTTGCTACTGTATGTAATTCACTCTAAAAAATTACTGTTATCATTGTTATCCTCTTAATATTTTCCTTAAGGAAAGCTTTCTTAATTAGATGGTAAATTTAAGAAAAAGACCACGGATTGTATTCTACCATTTATAGTGTATGGCACTAACTCTGGGTGGCAGTAGAATGAGAAATGAGAGGATATCATGAGGTAGTGTTATACCCAAGCTCTAGAGCCTAACTGCCCATGTTCAAAATCCCAGCTGTTCTTATTTGTTCTGTGATCTAAGTCTTATCAGCTTTCTCATCTGAAAAAAAAGTTTTGATGACAATACCTACATGGGATTGCTCTGAGGACCCAATTGGATAATATGTGAAAAGCCTTTAGAACTGGGCTTGGATGCAGTGAGTACTCGGTAAACGTAGCTCTGATTGTTTTCTGGAAATAGTGCCTGTTAACATCAGGACTTGGTAGATTTCATTTTGTTTTTAGTTATATGTTACCAGTCTGGGAAGACTCATTGGAAAAGATGAATGAAAAGGTTTTATTCCTTAAAGACTTGGGCCAGCCCGGTGGCGCACTTGGTAGAGTGCGGCGCTTGGGAGCGTGGTGGCACTCCCGCCGAGGGTTCGGATCCCATATAGAGACCAGTCTGCTCACTGGTTGAGTGCGGTGCGGGCGCGACACCGAGGGTTGCGATCCCGTTACCGGTCATGAAAAAAGACAAAAAGGGGAAGGAAAAAAGACAAAAAGGGGAAAAAAAAAAAAAAAAGACTTGAAGATGAATTTTAGCAAGCCTTGTAAAAGAAAGAACCTTTGGGTTTACTTAGCATAACAGCAAACACCACTGAAGCTCTAAGTCCAGGAAGCTAAATGCTGGACGACCTTGAAGCCTATGAACAGGGGGGACATGATAAAAGCAGCATAGTGATTATCAGCTTATTCAAGTGTCTGTTATGATTATTCACTTTATAGCCTAAGTTATTTATTTTATTTCTCTAAGCCTTAGTCTTTACGTCAGCAAAGTTGGGATAATAACTGTACCTGATCTCAGTTTGAGGATTAAATGAGTTCAGAGTGTTTATCATGTTGTAGAAGTGTTAGCTATTATAGCCATAAATAGGAATTTTGTGTGTATGTATGTAAATATGAGTACGTATAATAAATAATAGCTTCAGAGGAAAAATAATAAAGACATTTGAGAAAGTGTTCAGCACAAAGTATGAGGGTCAGGACTAACACTGTGGCATGAAAAATTTAAAGGAAAATCAGATCTAAAAGGGCTTTGGAAGTCTCTAGAACTTGGTGATAAGCTAAGGGGAGCAAAAGGTGATTGTGGTTCCAGTGTTTCAGGTTGGGTTGGTTCAGGAGGATGGTGGTGGTGGTGGCCCTGGAAAATCAGGGTCTCCAGAGCCTCTACTAATCTTTGTAAATTAGAAAAAGCATCCATTTCTCAAGGCATTTAACTTTCACATGTTGGAAAATTGCTATAATACACTAATTTTGTTAGCACAGGATCCTTTTATGAACTATCTCCTATAAAATTCTAAAATAGTATATTTATTACAACAGTGTCTATGATCTGAATTGATGTCCCCTTAAGTATGGTCTCTGGAGTGCATAATGGTGAACAGCCCTGCTTTTGAACTGTCCTAAGATGTATTTTACTTTAGTATGTTCAAAGGTGCCGATTACAGAAAGAAAAATGATTATGCCAGTTACAAGGTCTGGGATTTAATTTTATGCACCATTCCAAAATGGAGAAGACTCTAAGATGTATTTTACTTTAGTATGTTCAAAGGTGCCGATTACAGAAAGAAAAATGATTATGTCAGTTACAAGGTCTGGGATTTAATTTTATGCACCATTCCAAAATGGAGAAGACTAAACTGTAACGATTTGAAGGAGGAGAAGTGGATGTACAGAGGGGTCCCAAGAAGAATCTTAAAAGCAAAGTGACATTGAAAAGCAAAGCAGCCAGAAAGTATCAAATAGGGGACTCTGATGGCTGTCTTTTTGTAATGTAGAATTTATCTCATTTCAAAAAGTATTCAAAGCTTTCAGAAGTCATGGATATAATAAGGTTCAGCATCCACACTGGAAAAAGATAAACATACCAGCCGTCCAAACTAATACAGTTATTGTGAAAAGTATGAAGGTTAGCTCAAGAGTTTTTTTTTTTTCTGGCAGCCATAGTAAAATTAATGGGCCAGTGATTCTCAGTCTCAAAGGCAATATAAGGATCTGGAAAAATGTAAACAAAATAACAAAACTGGATTTGTTTAGAGAAGATCATAAGTAAATTTTGGTTACTAGATTAGAGCTGTTTCTTATATACAACTGGATTTCACATTCTGGGTATGTCCCATTCAAAGCTGCCAAGTGCCAGTTATTGACATTGGAAGAATGGACCACTTGCCATTCTTTTATTTCGTTGGCAAAATTCCATTAAAAAGTTTCCTTTCTCTTTAAAAATCTTGCAAAAATCTGCCCTAGATTCGCTCCCAGATTAGTGTACTTGTAGCTTCATACAGAAAAGCCTAATGGTAATTGGGAGTGGTGTGTTGGAACCCGAATGAGAATAGGGCTGATCTCCTGGTCCATGTCAGGGCATTGACTGAACTGTTGGGCTGCTTGGAATTCCTGGAATGAGAACTGATTTCATTCTTGATTACTGAAGAGATCTTTTAAGCTTAGAGCTTCAAAATTAATTTCTGGGTTTTTCTTTTAAAGGAATATTCCCCATATGTGAGACCTAAACAGATTATGTCTGACTTAGATAGTATTAAGTATAGATTTCTGTGATATCAAATTCAAGTTCTGAAATTTTCCTTTAGAGATTTCTTGAAGGTTAAAGTTATCTGTGTTCTAATATCTGCCCAGATGTGGAGCTCTGTGGTATTGGAGCTTCTTCCACTTGTTACAGACCTAAAGAAGAGAAACTCTTTCTCTTACATCATCACCCCAGGGTGCCTCTTTGGAGAAATAGTTTCCACTACATGAAATTTCTAAATTCCATCATCTAACAAACGCATACTTGACAGAGACACAACAATACTGAGGGGAGAAAATGGCAGGAATGATCCTACCATAAAGGGAAACGAGCAGTCAGAATGAAAACACAAGTGGTGAGAATGACTGCAATCCTAGGAACCAGAAGTTCTTTTCTTTTTCTCTTCTAATTAGATCATTTTCAGTTTGCCTTGAGCTCCATGATGCTAGGAAGATAGGCATTTCTGATACACTTAAAAATCTTGACTTAAGGAAAGACATTTATTTTCTCAACTGTTAATTATTCTTTACTTGAATTTTGTTTCTGTTTTCTAAAAGCATGTTTTTAACCTTGGAGAGGATACACTTAAAAATCTTGACTTAAGGAAAGACATTTATTTTCTCAACTGTTAATTATTCTTAACTTGAATTTTGTTTCTGTTTTCTAAAAGCATGTTTTTAACCTTGGAGAGAAAATATGTGGCCTTTTGCTTCTTCCTAACTCAGAATAGAGTACATAGTCAGAGGACTAGACTATGAGACCCATATATCTACATGGTTTGCTTTCATTTGTAGGATAGAAAACAGATTAAAAAATATTTACCTCTAAGTACTATAGTATAGGATTTTAGTAAATATTTGTAGAATAGAAAGTAAGTAAGTTATTTCTTGTTATTACCTACCTGTCTATTCAACTTGGAGACTGCTGGTTAAAGTCTGGCTAGAATTTCTTTATCATTGTCCTGAAGATATAAGAACAGTTAACCAGAAGTCATATTGGAAGATTGTCTCTTCTAAAAATTTACTGGGCTTCTCACCTTGGGTGAGTCATTTAGTCTTTCTGAGCTAGCTTTCTCAATAATTAAGAGACAAGACCATCTGCTCTGTTGGACCACTTTGAACTCTAATCTGTGGTCCCTTGTACTTTGTTTCATACCACTCATATCAGTTTCTTCACATCACATCTCACTGGGGTTATTTGGGGAATTTGGGGAACAAGACAGGAATTCATACTTAAACATGAAAATTTACTCTAGAAAGCTCAGATGAACAAAAGACCATTTATTCTTTAAGCTCGGTTGGGGTTGTGGGATAATGCTGATGGAGGGAGGGAGCAGAGACTGACCCTGACAGGATCAATGCAAAAGAGACTTCTACCCACCATAGAAACAGTAGTCTGACAGTCTCCTTTTGTTTTCTGACAACTAGAATTCAGGAATGGTTGTCTTAAGAGATGGAACACTTCTCTTTAGTAGGTTTTTTGTGGGTTTTTACCCACCATAGAAACAGTAGTCTGACAGTCTCCTTTTGTTTTCTGACAACTAGAATTCAGGAGTGGTTGTCTTAAGAGATGGAACACTTCTCTTTAGTAGGTTTTTTGTGGGGTTTTTTTTTTTTTTGTACTTGGAACTGAGGTGGTTAGTAACAATAGGGGATTCCTAGTTTTATTGCATTTTTGCTGTTTGTCTTAAAAACAAAAAATGAATTTCAGTTGATTATGGAATTTCATTTTCTTTTGGTGTCAGACAAGATCTTTGTCAAACATGGCATTTCATGAGATATTCTAAACAGGTTTGTCTGGTGTTCGCTGGCTGCTTCTGCCAGGGTCACTGTGTTTTAACTATTTTGGAAATTTTCCTAATATTTGCTTATAGCTTCCAGCATGTTTACTTTGTTTGTGGCATATGTAATCAATAAGTTGTAGTCATTATGAAGCATCTGCACACAAGATTTTTTTTTTTAATTTCATGTTCATCCTTGCATAAAGAAAACTGACCCTGTTCTCATTATTCCCCTTTTCTACTTCCCTCTTCAACAGTAAAAAGAACATAAGAAAGCAGCGAATGAAAATCTTATTCAATGTTGTTCTTGAAGCTCGAGAGCCAGGTTCAGGCAGAAGACTTTGTGATCTATTTATGGTTAAACCGTCCAAAAAGGACTATCCTGACTATTATAAAATCATCTTGGAGCCAATGGACTTGAAAATAATTGAGCATAACATCCGCAATGACAAATACACAGGTGAAGAGGGAATGATAGAAGACATGAAGCTGATGTTCCGGAATGCTAGGCACTACAACGAGGAGGGCTCCCAGGTAAGTACAGGGGGTTTGAGTGGAGATGGGGAGTCCTTAAGACACATTTTCTTCTGGGTGCTGGTAGAATAATGCATTTTGAGAGACCAGCTCTAGAGGCCTAACTTTGGTTGTTATTCTTGGTGACTAGGTTAATACTTTGTCTTTTCTTAATTGTTTAAAATTGGAGGCAGTACATTACAAAGGTTAAAAGTTCATATTTTGGGGGCTGGCTGGTTTGCTCACTTGGTTAAAGCCTTCTGTTATAACACCAAGGTCAAGGGTTCGAATCCCTGTATTGGCCAGCCACCAAAAAAAAGAAGTTCTTACTTTGTAATCTGACATCCAAGATTCAAATCCTGCTCTGCCAATCCCTGTGTAAGCAACTTATCTTTCCTGAGCCTTAATTTTCTTATGTATGAATTAGGGATAATAATAGTATTTACATCAGGGTTGTTGTATAATCTATATTGAGCATTTAGCACAGTGCCTGGTACTGAGAAGCACTCAACGTTTCGCCTATAATAACATTAAAATCTTTCATCATCATTATTATTACTGTCCTTAATGTCCTTACTTCTGCAAAGACAGTCCATAAAATGTTATATAAGAATCAGCATGATGTTTTCACAAGTGCACCTCTAAATAATTGATTTAATTGATTTTTGTATAAAGCATCTTGATTTTCCATTCTTTATCAGTATAGCTAAGATACAGTCTTCCTTCTTTTGTATTTTTCTATTTCATAACCTTTATCCACTTTAAACCTCCCAGAAATTTTTTTAAAGTTTCAGGTCATTTATTTCCTTTCTTCTGCTATTACATTTAAATATAAAATAAAGTATGCACTGAGGATACTTGTAAATCAAAGAAATGGTTCTCTCTTAACAAATCAGATTAGACTGTGAACTCAGATTTGGGACTTAATGTTTGAGATATTCCTCTTCAGCTAAATCTCTCCTTTCCATTGGGCTAAGTCTGCTACCTTGAGGGGCCAATGGAAAAGTTTATTAAAAGTTGTAAGGAAAGAGAAGACAACAAAAGTAATTTGGTTCCTGCCTTATTTAAAATATGTAAATAAAATAAATACCAAACAAACAATAGTGATGTTGTTAAATATTCTTTAGAGCCATATTTGCTGAAAGAGGAAAAACAGACTGGCTTTTTTATATGAAATGACTAAACCGAATTTCACAGTAGCTTTAAGTATGATTGCCAAGTCACGAGTCTTTCTTTTTAAGGCATTTATCTTTTCATGGAATTATAAAAGCATACAGAAGATTTGTAGAAATGCAAAATTTTATCCTACTTAATAGGAACATACCACCTTTTAAAACTGTATGGAATTAATTCCATGCATTGAGTTAGGAGACTAATTAACAATAGATGGATAGCTTAACAATAGCTATCTAAATATATATATTAAAATAAATAAATACACCATATTTTAAAGTTCAGGGAAAGGGGATTTTAATATGGAATGTTAATTTTGTTTTTTATTTCTCTGTGTTTTCTTATGAAAAATTTCAAACATATACAAATGTAAAGAATAGTATAGTGAACCCCTACATATAACTGTTACTCGACATTTATCAAGATTGTGCCTTACTTATTTTCTATATCCCCTTTTTTCTCTTTTTCTCTAAATTATTTTAAAGCAAATCTAGTCTTTCATTTCTCTAAAATAAGCAGACATTTTCTTAAATAACCCTGAAGTCATTATCACACCTAACAAAATTAGCAGTAATTTCTCGGTTTCGTCTAATACCTGACAAATTTTCAAGTTTCACGATTGTCTGACAAATGTATTTTTACAGTTGGTTTCTTCAAATCAGGATCTAATTATTCTGTATATTATCTTTGATTGTTATGCCCTTAAACTCATAATCTAGACCGGTCTTCTCCCTTTTCTTTCCTCATGCCATTTACTCATAGAAGAAACCAGGTCAGTTTCTATACAATGTCCCACACTCTGGGTTAGACATTTTGCTTCCTTGTGATGCCAGTGAACTTTTTCCTTTATCCTCCTTATTTCTTATAAATGGAAGTTAATGTTAAAGGCTTGATTAGATTCAGTTTCAGCTTGGCAAGGATACTTCCTAAGACGTTTTCTACACTTATGTTGCGTCATGTCTTGGGGTGGTGTTTGGCTGAGGTAGAATCCAAATAAGGTCCACACATTGCATTTGATTGGTATTTCTTTTAATCTGTAAACTCCCTTTCATCTCTTCCCCCTACCTTCTTTGCAGTTTATCTGTTGAAGAAATTGGGTTTGGGGCCGGCCCATGGCTCACTGGGGAGAGTGCGGTGCTGATAACGCCAAGGCCACGGGTTCGGATCCCATATAGGGATGGCCGGTTTGCTCACTGGGTTAGCGTGGTGCTGACAACACCAAGTCAAAGTTTAAGATCCCCTTACCGGTCATCTTTTTAGAAAAAAAAGAAGAAATTGGGTTTGTGTTATCATTTCCCATAGTCTGCTAATTGCATCTCTGTGTTGTAGTTTAACATGTTCCTCTGTTTTTATGTTTTTTGAAAATTGGTCATTGGAGCCAGAGGCTTGATCAGATTCAGGTTTGATTCCCCATCCCCTCCCTTTGGCAGAAAAACTGACTTGATAGGTAATAAAACGGTCTTCTATTAAGTGGCACATAATATCTGGTTGTGTCTTTCTATTATGTTAACAGGTATTGATGCTTACGTCATTAATTCATTAAAGGGGTATCAAATGGTAACAGTTTAATTTTATCATTTCTTGCTCGGTTATTAGCTGGAATACTTCTATATGAGGGGTCTTCAAAAACTTCGTGGAAAGGTTCATATTATCTTTTAATTTTATATTTCAGCAAACTTTTTGAATTACCCACATGTAGAGAAACTTGCCTTATCCAATATTTGGTTACCCAGTAGTGCAGTCCTTTGTTTGTCTCTTTTTTTTGAAAGGATAAAAACTTGATTTTTTTTGGTTTTGTTTTTCCCTTTATATACCAGTTTTCAAAATAATGTGCTGGTTTACTAACATCCTCTTATATTTACCCAGTTTTTTATTTTTTTTTATGTCTCAATCAGAACTGCTAGATTGAAACATATTGCTGAATTTTAATCCATTGCAATTTTGTCCTTATTAATGATGCTCATGTTGTATCAGGCTGGTTCCTGTGTTCTTTTGACATGACTACGGTAAAGACTCTTTGGTAGATTCTTTATTGTCTGGTGTTTCAGGATAAAGCAGACTGGGAGTCAGACATTTGACAAGGAGCCCTGACCTTTTCATGTTTCTGCTAAAAGGTGAGGGCTCCTTGACATTAATATTTGAAACTAGTATTTTAAAACTATAGTTTGGGGAATACTGCTACTGAGTTGGTCATTGTTCCTAGTTTTTTTCAGTGGACAGAGCTAGGAAATTGTGAATGTGTGCATTTATATTTAAAGATAAAATATATCTTAAGTTCATACTGATGCTTTCAATTGAGATTCAAGGCCACGGGATTTTTATTCAGTGTCCTCTGTTTTAACATCTGTAACTCTTTTTCTCCCATGAAGAAAAATCTCAGTACTCAGGAATGCCAGAGGTGATGGAATTAGAATGTCACATAGCTACTCATTTGTTTTATTCCACCTTATTCAAAGCTATCTCAACATAACAGTACTTAATCTCCCATCAAAAATATGGTTACTGAAAATTTTTTTCCAGTTCTTTTTTTGTCTATAGAATATATTTCACGAAAGACATGCTAGTTATTGTGTTTTACAAATCATTCGGAATAGTCCCTTTCTTGTGTTAGTTTTTTGTTTTTTAGACAAAACAAGTAAGACAGCACCCTTATGTTTCTGCCACCAACTGTATAAAAATTAAGTTCATTTATTTCATTTTATCCATTTAACATTAAATCTCTTTCTTTAGGTAGGAAGAGTGGCATTTCTCCTAAAAAATCAAAATACATGACTCCAATGCAGCAGAAACTAAATGAAGTCTATGAAGCTGTAAAGAACTATACTGATAAGAGGGGTCGCCGCCTCAGTGCCATATTTCTTAGGCTTCCTTCAAGATCTGAGCTGCCTGATTACTATCTGACCATTAAAAAGCCCATGGACATGGAAAAAATTCGAAGTCATATGATGGCCAACAAATACCAAGATATAGACTCTATGGTTGAGGACTTTGTCATGATGTTTAACAATGCCTGTACATACAATGAGCCTGAGTCTTTGATCTACAAAGATGCTCTTGTCCTGCACAAAGTCCTGCTTGAGACTCGGAGAGACCTGGAGGGAGATGAGGACTCTCATGTCCCAAATGTGACCTTGCTGATTCAAGAGCTTATCCACAATCTCTTTGTGTCAGTCATGAGTCATCAGGATGATGAGGGAAGATGCTACAGTGATTCCTTAGCAGAAATTCCTGCTGTGGATCCCAATTTTCCTAACAAACCTCCCCTTACGTTTGACATAATTAGGAAGAATGTTGAAAATAATCGCTATCGGCGGCTTGATTTATTTCAAGAGCATATGTTTGAAGTATTGGAAAGGGCAAGAAGGATGAATCGGTATGTTCTCAAAGCCATTTCTTTTTGAAAATGTGTGATATTTAATGCAAAACAGATGAAGGAATACTGCTTTTTTGTACTAATTCAACTTAGATATATGATTTCAGCTGGTAGCATGCTATTCTGAATTCTAATTAGCAAAAACTTCTAATGAGCAAGTATATTCTGTGGGGAAGAGATGGCACACTACTAAGTCACCTAGATTAGGGCCAGAGGAAGGAGGAAAGCAAAAAAACTCTTGAAAAGCATAAACTTAAAGTATAGCCTTTTATAGAACAAGTGTTTTAAAGGATAAATGCATATAGTTTGAAACAGGAATTAGAAATAGTAACAGGATTTTTCTTTTAAGGTTTAACTTCAACCCAAAATACCTTAAATAAATTAAAATAGCTTTAAGGTATTGATCTGAGGTCAGAGTGATATAAATTTGGTCACTATTTCAAGTGCTATTTTGAAAGGGCTTCTTTTTTTAACCTCAAATTTCTTACTTTATTTTTTTAAAGGACAAGCTTCCTAACTTTCTTACTTTAAGAACCTACCGGAGACATTAAATGTTCTGAAAGAAGCAATCAAATTTAAATTTACATCAAACTTAAATTTCCTTCTAATTTTGATTTGTGGCATATATTTGCCACATGTCAATAGCATACTTGACTGTTAAATTTGATCCAGCAATTATACTATATCTTCTGTGTGCTCTTAGAGGCATTTAGGAAAATATAAAAAATTAAAGATACAAACCCTGCGTCCCAGAGCTTACAGTCTGTCATGCTACAAGCTGGACATTTAGACAGTGAAATTCCAATGGGGAAATCTTTGAGGCCAACATTTGCTCGGACCTTGAAGGAAAAATAAATAGTAATGTTTGCTATTCTTGTTATAAGCACCTGCTCTTTGTGTAAAGCACCATACTAAGCGCTTTATGTAGATAAACTCAAACCCTTATAATAGCCATTCTAGGTGAGAGATAATCTTCTCAGTTTGTATGTGAAGAATTGGAGACACAGGCAGAGAGAAGTTACCCATAGTCACACAACTAGTAAGTAGTGGAGCTGGTCTTGTTCCCTACTGCGGAGAGCTGCTGCTGAGCCAGTCACTAGAACACCAGTCATGGAGTACAGACATGGATGATAAGCCTTGAACTCTGTGCTCTAAGAGCTTGAAGTCTAATGGATGGGACAGAACCTATACTTAGGGAGAAATATTCCAGACATGAGACAATATGTTACAACATGATATTTATAAAGATGGTGGCATAAGGAACTCTAGGCTAGAGTTCTCCTAAAAAGGCATGAGGCGTCAGGGAAGAATGAAAAGTTGGGTAGGATTCAAATGAGTAGGGAGAAGGATATTTCAAATAAGGCAAGTGGTATGAGCAAAGCATAGGGTTAGGAAATAAATATGGTATGTTCAAGAGACAGGGTAGAGTTAGGGCCAGATTGGAAAGGCCCTTGAGTGACACATTTAGGAAGTGGTCCTTATTCTTCAACAGGAGGGATAGAAACAGAAAGATAGAGGATATCTTGCAGTTAAAATCTACAGGAGTTATTTGTTATTCAACAAGTTTTTATTAAGTTACTACCAGTTTATGAGCACTTTCTAGATGCATGGTATATGCCAGTGGACAAAACAGACAAACCCTGCTTTCATGCAGCTTAGACTTCCATTCTTATTCTCATTAGTCCTTAAGTCTAAAGCCACTCCCCAACCCCATTATATTTAGGGGTTCTGAGAATCTTCCAAAGAGTATTTGTCTCTTAGATTATTAGGAACTTTATCTTGTGTAGATGACATGTTTATTTTAAGAATTAAGCAGATTTATATTTCTAGGAAATAATCTCTTTATTCTCCCATGTTGACACGATTGGTTTTTGCTTTTGAGGCCTGGGAGGTAGAGTCCAAGGTACATTTATATTTGTATGAGATAGTGATCCACACAGTTTTGCTCTCATGCCTAGGACTTTGTTGAAAAACAAAGGAAAACCATTCTTATCTTTGTGAATAAAGGTACTATTTTGACCTCTTATAGTACTTAATAAGAATTAAGATAAAGTACTTGATAAGAATTGATGGTGATGCATCAGTTTAGTGAATGATAAACCTTGTCTTTATCTACTGTATTGACAGTAATGAAGATGGGCATCCCAGAAGTAGTAAGTTCATGAATTTAATGAAGTCCACATGCAGTACATATCCATGTTGACCTCTAAGAGTGTTTATGCTTTATCACCACTTACCCCTACCCAGCACCACTACCCAACATCAGCTAGGACTTCACACCCTGAGATAGAATCTAAACAGTGAGACATAAAAGAATAGCATAGTTCACTCAGGTGGCAGTGGTTTGTCATAAGCAGTATTCAGTAACAGCAGGCACAGTGTTGACTCATGCCGGTTGATTGCTGGTTTTCCTAATCTGCTGACAGTATTTCTGGATTAAGCACCATGACTCCTTTTCAGGTAAGAAGGACCCATGGGGAGACAAGAACAAGGGAAGCATCAAGAGCCTCCTGTAATCTTAGTTATTTCCTTTTGCTGAATGTCTGCCTTATATAAAAAGATTACCTTCCAATTGTAGAGAATTATTAGAGTTGGTTCTTTTTCCATCTTGAGTTTTTGTTCTTGCACATTCATTGAACACCTGGCCTCATAGATTAACAAATTCTTCATAGTACTTTGTTTGAATAAACAAAACAAAAAAAAGATATATCAGGTGTTTAGTGACTCTTGTACAAAACTTTCATTACTAAACCACCTGACATGAGGAATTGTGAATCTGCCATTTCAGTGTAACATGGATTTACCAAAAGTGTGTTTTCACTTTTAATTTTGTACTTAAAATTGTAAGCTATTGTAAAATGAACTTTAATTTCAAGTGAACAATCTTCAGATATCTCTATTCAGAAAATAGGCACCAAAATAGTGTCAGGGTTTTTTTTTCCCTTGGTAAGTTTTATTTTTATTGTTTTCCTACAAGTATTAGCATTTTTATAACCTCAAAAGATGTTTAAAACTTTTCCAGAAACACCTAGTTAGGTTATTGGCAGTGTTTTTAACTGCTTGCTTAGAGGCACTCTGGAGGTCTTGTTGAAATTTGATGGAATGTGTCTGCAGGCGGCTGACTGGGCTACCTATGCCTGCTACTCTGCCCTATCCAGAATGTCTCTATAACTGCTGAGACATTGTTCTGTGCTTGTTTTTGTGAATAACTTTTTAGACCCTGGTATTCTTAGTTAATAGAATTATATTTAAGCCTTCCTCAGACCACAGTGGATTAGAGATAGTAATAAAATTTCTTCCCATCTAAATTCTAACGTTTATTTTGCACAGTCCCTTTTATTTTATAAGTGAGGAAAATCTCAGAAAAGTTCTGAGTATGACACACATCATTTTTTCCCACATCTTTCACTGTGTTGCCTTTGCTGATTCCCCAGCATTACGTGATTATTTCTGGAAAACTGAAATGAACATTGACTCTGAGGCCTGTAACTATTACAAGATGCCCTCATGGTTTTGCAGTTTAGGTTCAAATGGTCACTGAGTTCTCCAGCCTAGTCAACCATGAGGTAGGACCAAAAAGAAGAGAGGCCTAAATTTGTTGTTAACACTTTATGTATATAATATGTTGGTCTGCAATTAAGAGAAAGGAAAAATTAATCCAGATTAGACATAAGTAAGTGTTGGACATGGTGTGGAGCCTTGGTACAGTCCTTGATTTTGGCAGCCATTCTTCTGTTGCCAAAATTAATTGATACATGTGCCACAAGTCTCTGAGGGAAAATGTGTGAGGCTTCTCCTTTTACATGAACTGTACAAGGAGTGAACTTGAGGAAAAAGAAATGGGTGGGCATGAGGCTTACTTACCATAGTAAAACAACACCTCAGTTCTGTTCTACCAAACTTCAAGAAGGTACACTTTTTAGAACTGTACAGAAATACCATTATGCCAATTAACATTAAAGAAGCATTTAATAAAATTAACGTATAATTGAGATGTTTAAAAGGAGCAGCTTGTGTGTCAGTGGCTACCCTTGATTCCGTTATAGGACAGATTCTGAAATATATGAGGATGCAGTAGAACTTCAGCAGTTTTTTATTAAAATTCGTGATGAACTCTGCAAAAATGGAGAGATCCTTCTTTCACCAGCACTTAGCTATACCACAAAACATTTGCATAATGATGTGGAGAAAGAGAAAAAGGAAAAATTACCGAAGGAAATAGAGGAAGATAAACTAAAACGAGAAGAAGAAAAAAGAGGTTGGTTTCTTTTTATTTTATTAAATATGAAAAAATATTATACTGTGTTCTAGCTGATCTCATAAATAGTTGTGGAGAAGAGTCCTGTTTGTGTAAATGAAGACTCAGGGTGTTTATTATTTTCACAGTAGACATGATGAGATGGAAATGGTTTTATCATTACCAATTTGGTCATCAGACTGGAAAAGATTGAAAGTAAGTTACCCATAAATAGTTGTGGAGAAGAGTCCTGTTTGTGTAAATGAAGACTCAGGGTGTTTATTATTTCACAGTAGACATGATGAGATGGAAATGGTTTTATCATTACCAATTTGGTCATCAGACTGGAAAAGATTGAAAGTAAGTTACGTGTAACACAGCTATAATCCTTGTATTCCAAGAATAGAAGAGTCAGTTAATTCACAACAGTGGGAGCTTAATGCCTCTTCATACGACTGGTAGATAAAAACCTAAGGGGCCCAGCTAGGGCTAGAAAGCATTCTCAGCAGTGAGTGCATCAAGTTTCTGCTATAGCATCCAGTGGCATGGCTTACCTCTTATGTACTCTGGGCCAGACAAGGAGGTGATATTTTGGTTGAACCACATACCTAGGAGAAAAGTTTAGTTTTAATTTATCATCCTAAAGATGTTACTTTGAGTCACTTGCGAGAATTTAGAAATATTTTGATAATAACTTTTTTTTTTTTTTTTTACAAATTTGATCATTTCTGATAAAGTTTGAGTTCACATAGGTACCTAGAATATGTGACTTTCCAAAAATTATGTTCGTCTTAGCATCAAACCTCCTCCTTAGGTTTTTTTTCCTTAGGCAAGAAAACAAAATAAATTGATTTGAAGCAAATTCTTATATGTGATGGCATATCCAAAAAAGAAGCGAAAGGATCCTCGTTGGTGAGAATAGTAATTTTGCCAGCATAGGGCTAACTGCAAAAACCAGCAGCTTTGCTGTCAGAGGGGATGTACTCATTCAGGATTCAGGATGGTGAGTGTATGTGGGGGGTGAGTTTCAGGGAGATGGGGTGGGGCATCTGTGTCTTTGACAGCTAAAAGTGGTTGATGCAGAAATGAATGGAGTAAACTTGCAACTTTGCTAGCCCGAAGTGATGGTCCAGTTTAAGGAATATCCTGGAAATTAGAGAGACATAGAAGGGATAAGCTCTTCACACGTTCCTGGCTGACTGGAAAACTATGCATATGTGGGGGAGATGCAAGAATCTAGCAAAAAGCAAAATCCAAAGGATACCTGAAAATTACCTGCAACTTTGAATGCATCCCCCAACCCATCACAGATTGATCAAGAGAGGGTAATCCTTTCCGGCTTGAGGTGTTTGAGCACAACTTTCATCTAAGTTTTTGGCTGACCCCTACCTGTGCAGACTTAGGAGCAACCCCTAGTATGAAGTCTCCTAGTATACCTATAATGGTATTCCCAGAGGAGAGAAGAGAAAGAAAGGAGAAAAAATATTTGAAGACATTATGACTGAAAACTGAAATTTGATGAAAAACATTAACCTACAGTTCTAAGAACCCCAAGTAAAAACACAAAGAGAACCACATTTAGATACACCATAATCAAACTGCTGAAAGGGAAAATCTTGAAAGCAGTAAAGTGACTCATCACAATCAAGAAAACAATCATATGATTAATGGCTGACTACTTATGTGAAATCATGCAGGCCAGAAGGCAACCAGATAAAGAAAAACTGAGAGAATTCACTGTTGGCAGACCTGCCCTATAAGAAATGATAAAGGAAGAGCTTTGGGCCAAAATAAAATGACACCAGATGGTAATTCAGATCCACAAGAAGGACTGAAAAGCATTGGAAATGATAAATATGTGGATAAATATAAAAGACTGTGTGTGTAAAGTTTTCACTTCTCAATTTCTTTAAGAAACATTAGATGTCTCAAGCAACAATTACAACACTATCGTTAGATTTATTACATTTATAGAAGTAATATATGTGGGGCTGGCCAGTTAGCTCAGTTAGAGTGTGGTGTTATAACACCAAGCAAGGTCAAAGGTTCGGATCCCCATATAGACCAGCCACCAAAAATAATTTTTTAAATGAGTAATAAATGTGACAGTAAGAGCACGAAGAAAGGGAGGAGAATGGAGCTATATTGGAACAAATTTGCAGTATTTAACGAAATTAAGTCAGTATTTAACAAAATTAAGTTGATGGTAAGTTAAAGATGCATATTGTAGTGTCTAGAACAACCACTCAAAACACAAATAGCCAGAAAAAGTCAACATAAGAATTAAAATAATACACACAAAAAAATGTTTGCTTAACAGTTACACAAGAAGGCAGTAAAAGAAGAAAAGAGGAACAATAAGACATATAGATAACAAATAGCAGAATGGCAGATGCGAATTCAGTTACATCAATAATTACATTAAATGTGAATAGACTAAACGATCAAAACACTATCAGACTGAATTTAAAAAGTATTCTTTCTGTAGGAGACTTACTATAGATTCAGAGGCACAGATAAGACACAAATAGGTTGAAAGGAAAAGGAGGGAGACGATATACCATACAAACTGTAACTATAGTGAGTTGGAATGGCTATATTAATATCAGACAAAGTAGATTTTAAGAGAAGAAATAGTACTAAAGACAAAGAAGGACATTTCGTAATGATAACGGGGTCAACACATTGGGAACATATAATAGATGTATATAGACATAACAATAGAGCCCCAAAAGACATGAAGGAAAAAGTGACAGAATTGAAAGGAGAAATAGACATTGTAACAATTATAGTCTCAATACTCCTTTCTCAGTGATTGATAGAACAACTAGACCAAAAATCAATGAAGATACAGAAGACTTGAATATGAACTAGTTTGACCTAACTAATGTGTCAAACACTACACCGAATGACTATAGAATACATATTCTTTTTAAGCATGCATGCTGAGTTATCCAGAATAGCCCATATGCTAGGTCACAAAACAAGTTTCAAGTTTATTCTCTGAATGCAATTTAAATGAATTAGAAATCAGCAATGGAAAGAAATCTGGAAAAACCCCAAATATTTAGAAATTAAAACAATGCACTTTTATATAACCATGATCAAAGAAGACATCATAAGGGCAATTAGAAAAATCTTGAATGAAGTGAAAACAGTACATTAAAATTTATGTGATACAGCTAAAGCAGTTCTTAGACAAAAATTTATAACTTTAAACACTTATTTTAGAAAGGAAGATGTAAAATCAACAATCTAAGCTTCTATATCCCAAGAAGTTAAAAAAAAGAAGAGCAAATCAACCCCACAGTAAGTAGAAAGGAGGAAATAATAAAGATCAGAATGGAAATCCATGAAAGAAAACAGAAAATGCCAGTGCTACGCTGGATTTGACATTTGGGGCTACCCTGTTGTTTCTACCTGCAAAGTTTTGTAGGTTTGAATTTTTTTTTTTTTTTTTAAGTTTAGTTAATACTTTTCCTGGCAATGCAAAGTTAGCAACAGCTTCTCCTTGAGTTACTCTAAAGCATTTCTCAAAGTGTTGCCTATAGGCAAGCAGCATCAGCATCATGTGAGAACTTGTTAGAAATGCCAGTTCTCTGGTCTCATTCCAGACCTACCAATTCAGAAACTCTGGGGTGGGTAGGACCCAGCAGTCTATGTTTTAATGAGTCCTCTTAGTGATTATAAGGCATACTTAGGTCTGGGAACCACAACTCTAAGGCCTATTTGGTGAGTAGAGGAGCAAACTATGTCACCTGCCTCCTTTCATGGTTGTTTAGCAATGTTATGTGAATCCATTATCTGTTCTGGTGGTGCATTCTAGAGGAAAGGGGTGGGCTAGCTGGTTAGTTCAGTTGGTTAGAGCACCAAGGTCAAGGGTTTGGATCTCTACACTAGCCAGCCACAAAAAAGAGAGAGAGAGAAAAGGGATAATGAAATTTTACAGATTATTGGTCACTGCCCTTGACTGATCCTTAACTAACAAAATATTTCAAATGACTTAATCTATGAAGAAGGCGACACAAAGAAAGAGAGTGGTAGAAAAGTAGGGCCACACAAAGAAAGAGACTAGGAGATTTTGTTCCTTTCCCATCACTGTACCTATCTTATGAGCATAAGTGCTCATTTGACTTTTGCTCATGGTGCCTTTGCTGACTAGAGGAAAGGGAGCCCTGGCACACAGAGCTGCTTTCCGAGGCTGCCAGAGTATTCCTGTTAATACTTCTTTTCTTGCACTAACTCTGTATTGCACTAACTAACTGTATTTCCCAGCAGTGTGACTTGGTGATGGAAGCAGATAAGTGGTACTTTGCCATAAGAATGTGAGGCCAGCAGTAGGAAGGAAAGTAGAAGCAGTGTAGTCTGAGGGTTATTTTAACTAGTTATTTCTAGCCATGAAGGAGCTACAGTCTGCTTCAGATCGTCCCATGTTTGGTTACTTTATGAATATTAAGAAATAGCAAAACACCAGAAAGTTGGATAGTGGCTAAGACAGTCAGCCCTCTCTGTCTTTAAGCCATAAGAGGATTCTTAACCAGATGGAAATTGAGGGAAACTAGAAGATCTCACACACCCTGTTTTTAATTAAATATCAGAATTCCTCATGCAAGGGTAAGTAAGCAAGGGTAAAACAACATAGAGAACTTTTAGTTTAACATGGCAAATTATACACAAATGTTACTGCTACTCCTTCCCAAAACACCTCCAAAATGGTGGAAAGGGGATTTAAAAAAAATAAAAAACAAAAACACACTAACATTCTCCTCCCTCAAAAAAAGAAAAGGAAATCAGTGGAAGAGGAAAGGGTGGCAATTAAAATTTGGAAACTAGAAAATGGATGAATAAGTTGCTAACACTGGCTTCAGTGCCAGCAGTGGATGACAACCTCAAATAGGCCAATTCCTGTTTCAGAATGGCACAGAGATTATTAGAACATCAGTTGCTTCCAAAAATAGCGGTACACGTAGGACTGAAAACAGGGGGATCAGCTGAAAGTCTAAAAGAAGAGTTGAGTCTCCAGATTACCTCCTTAACCCTTCCTGTGACTGTTCCTCCTAAAGAGTCTAGACTCGGGGATACCAGGCAGACTCAAGTGGGAGTAAAGGGATGAAGGGAGGGTTAAGTGAAAGGATTTCTACTAAATAGTGAGATCTTTTAGTCATCCTTGCTATTTAGCTCCTAGAATGCTGGCAGTCACGCTTAGTTTCAGGGCAGTAGATTTTCTCTTGAGAAATGGACCAAGCAATGATAACATCTGGAGATCTCCAATGAAACCCCTTACTCATCCAGCTCTATGCATGCACAGAGGGCTTCTAATCAGCTTTGTAACATCTCACTCTTAAATATGAGCAGATATTTATTTAAATAGGACCAAATATTTAAGGAAAATTCCTAAAATGTAAATTTTTTTTTAAAAACTGTAATATTTAGGTTTTCAGAGAGATGACAAGTTATTACATCCATGAAACAACAGGAGGCTATAAAGAAATATTCACAGAACAAAAATTCTCTTGGAAATTAAAAATATGGCAAAGTCACCAAGTGAGAGAAAATATTCATAAATCATATATCTGATAAGAGTCTGGTATCCAGAATGTATAAAGAACTCATACAACTCAACAAAAACAAGACAACCCAATTCAAAATGAGCAAAGGATTTGAATAGACATCTCCCCAAAGAAATTATACGAATGGCCAATAAGCACATGAAAAGATGTTAAACATCATTAATTATTAGGAGAATGAAAATCAAAACTATAAGATACCCCTTGCACACCCTTTAGGATGACTGTTATCAAAAAAGAAAAATAAAAAATGTTCGTTGAAATCAGATCCTTCATAAGTTGCTGGTGGGAATATAAAGTAGATACAACCTCTGTGAGAAAAAATTTGGCAGTTCCTCAAAAAGCTGAACATTGAATTACCATATGATCCACCAATTCCCCTCCTAGGTATGTGTCCAAAGGAACTAAAAGCGGGGACTTGAAGAGATATTTGTATTCCCATGTTCATAGCAGAATTGGTTACAATAACCAAAAGGCAGAAACAGCCCAAGTGTCCATCAACAAATGAATGGATAAACAAAATATGGAATATCCATACACAAAGGAATATTATCCAGCCATAAAAAGGAATGAAATACTGACACATGCTACATAATGAACTTTGAAGACATTTTGCTGAGTGGAATAACCAGACAGAAAGGGACAAATATTGTATTGTAGCACTTGCTTGAAGTATCTAGAATAGGCAAATTCATAGAGATAGGAAGTAGAATAGAGGTTACTAGGGGCTGGAGGGCAGGGGAGAGGGATAGAGTTAATGTTTAATGATTACAGAGTTTCTGTTTGGAGTAATGAAAAAGTTTTTGGGGCCGGCCCGGTGGCGCACTGCTACAGTGCACCGCTTGGGAAGTGCGGAAGCGCTCCCCTATGATCCATCCTGGGACACCATTCCTCTCTATATTTGGACCTGTAAAACTAAAAAAAAGTTCTCTGCTCTTAAAATACAGTGACGAGACATGCATAGGATTAACAGTTAATAGATTTTGCTGTTCAAATAGGGAGAGCTGGAAGAAAGAAAGAGTCACCAATTCCAAATAATGTTGAAATCCAGCTGGGTAGACTCCATTGGGTTTCTGAGCCTGGGAACAATCCTCTGCAGCTCAACACTTTGCCCCCTGAATCATACTTTTTCATGAAAGATAGCATGTGTCTGCAACTGAGTAGTTTTATCACCCTGTTTCCTATTTTTAGAATTTTGTGGGTCAGACAGCATTCTTTCATTTTGTACTTTCTCTGTCCCTTGCAGTTCAGCTAACAGTGTTTCTGCTGGTATAAAATAATAGAGAATCTTGTGGATCTGTTATGTATGTCACACTCAGTTAATCACTGTTAGATGACATTTTCACCAAAATTGGCAAAACTTTTTTAAAAAGTTATAATGCCAGTATCAGAGAAGGAATAGAAAAACATACCACTTGTAGGTGGAAGGGGAAAGATCGTATAAGGGGCATAAAGAATAAGTATGATTTATAACAACGAATATGCTAAGGAAAAAAAAAAAGAAAAACATACCACTTGTATCCAAACAGTGAGGGACTTAAATTGGTATATCCTTTTGGAGATCAATTTGGAAGATGCATTTTGGAAAACACTTTAAATGCTTATTCCTAGCTGTTCCATTAATGGGAAATATCCTAAGGAAATAAAGATTTTGGCAAAGCTTTATTCTCAAAAAAAAAAAAAAAAAAAAAAAACCTAAGGTATTTCAAATGATAGCTTGTACTGGACATTAAAAAGTCTTAGGCTGGGCCGAGCCTGTGGCGCACTCAGGAGAGTGCAGCGCTGGGAGCGCAGCAGTGCTCCCGCTGCGGGTTCAGATCCTATATAAGGATGACCGGTGTACTCACTGGCTGAGCGCGGTGTGGCCGGTCTCAAAAAAAAAGGACAAATAAAAAGTCTTAGGCTAACCACTTAACTCCCTTGGTTTGAGCATGGTACTGATAACCAAAGTCAAGTTACAGTATATTGTATGATATACCTATTCCGTATTTCTTCAGTTCTAGGACTGCATAAATTATGTCATGCCATGTAATAATTGTAAGGAAAAAAAATTCAGAAGCATTAAGACGGAGAGGACGTATATCAGAGATTATCTCTAGATTAGATGATTTATAAGTGACTTATTTTCTTCATGCTTTTCTGTATTATTCAAAATGACATGAGCATATATTTTAAGGTGATTGTTTTTATTCTGTAGATCCTTTGTTTCTTTCTTTCTTTATTTAAATTAATAGTAATTAGTTGGAATTCAAAAAGGCATTTTTTTTTCCCCCGGTGGCTAGCTGGTACCAGGATCCAAACCCTTGACCTTGGTGTTATCAACACATGCTCTAACCAACTGAGGCAACAGGCCAGTCCTAAGTAGAGACTGTTGGGAATGTGAAGATCATACTACTTTTCTGACTCCTGCCTTTGAATGTCACAAAAAAGAACTAAATGTATTAATGTGTGTTGTTTGAATTCTATGTCTGATTCCAACATCCCCTCAGCGAGTACCTTTTTCTTTTCTTTTTTCTTTTTTTTGCCTAAGAAGCTGAAAAGAGTGAAGATTCCTCAGGTGCTGCAGGCCTCTCAGGCTTACATCGCACATACAGCCAAGACTGCAGCTTTAAGAACAGCATGTATCATGTTGGAGATTATGTCTATGTGGAGCCTGCAGAAGCCAACCTACAACCACATATAGTGTGTATTGAGAGACTGTGGGAAGATTCAGCTGGTAAGTTTGTTTTCAATTGAAGGGCAGATTAGTGAGATGTGACTATTTTATTTGTGCTTGCTCTTCAGGGAAGAAAAATTTAACTTAGACATTTTGTGCCTTCCAACAATAGTTGTTCTGTTGTATCAATAATTATAATTAAGCACCGACCATATGAAAAACATAGGCTCTAGTGCTTTAGGGCAGATAAATACAAAAGAAATACAACTTCTTGAAGTCTAGTTGAGATTCATTCATTCAACTGATATTTATTAAAAGCATACTTTGAGGGGCCGGCCCGTGGCTCACTCAGGAGAGTGCGGTGCTGATAACACCAAGGCCGCGGGTTCGGATCCCATATAGGGATGGCCGGTTGCTCACTGGGTGAGCGTGGTGCTGACAACACCAAGTCAAGGGTTAAGATCCCCTTACCGATCATCTTTTAAGGAAAAAAAAAAAAGCATACTTTGAGCCAAACTCTATGTAGGATGGCAGAGATTCAGAAGAACAAAAGGCTCGTGTTTTTACAGTGACAAAACTACTTTAGTAAAGGAGATCACAAATAAAAAAAGAAATTATTATAGAGAGACATGTGCCTTGGTTTAAAATTTGTTTTTGAAAAGGCTTCCTAGAACAGTTGCCTTTGAGTTGAGACATGGAGAATGAATAGAAGTTAATGAAGCCAAAAGCAGGTGGAAATGTGACCTAGGTAATCAGTTTTTTCAGCTGCCCATCGTGTGAAATACACTTGGTTTCCTTCACCTGAATGCCAAACATGTCCTTCAGTATATCTATATCTTTACTAAAGCACACAGCTCAAGGGGTGTACTGACCAGAGCAGAGCAGAGTAGATCTCATCACCTTCCCCATTCTGTACGTTATACATCTTTTAATATGAGGGGAATGAAAATCAACTACATTGTATATTGATGAATTAAAAAAAAAATAAAAATAAAAAAATGAATAATATGAGGAGAAAAGGAATACTTCTTAGGCTTCACAGTACTTCATTATTTTTAAGTATTATGTCTTGTAAGATAATTATATTAAGAAACTGTGACCCAAAAAGCACAGTGCTAGGTTACAATTATGGCAGAATAGCTTTATGGAGCATTTCCTAATTTTGCAAGGAATATATGTATGGTTTCTGTTAATGATGATTACTTTTTTCTCTCTCTTTCTCTGTTTTTGAGGCGAAAAATGGTTGTATGGCTGTTGGTTTTATCGGCCAAATGAAACATTCCACCTGGCTACACGAAAATTTCTGGAAAAAGAAGTTTTTAAGAGTGACTATTACAATAAAGTTCCTGTTAGTAAAATTCTAGGCAAATGTGTAGTCATGTTTGTCAAGGTAAGAAACTCATTAGTTTCCAAAGTATCAGTCATTCCCTGGGAATAATATTCTACAACACAAAAATCAATACTTACAAAATTAGGAACTCTATTTTAAGCTGTTTGTTTGTTTGTTTCAGCTGTTTATATAGCTATATGTAAAGATTTGGGAAGAAATTAACCTGAGCATGGTTGTAAAAGACCATTTGCCACCTACACTATTTAGCTATATGTAATTCGCTTAAATGTTTTATATTGCCAGGCTAATTTTTAAGAATGATGTTTTCTGAAAGCCAATCATTATAAATTTTCAGATTGTTTTTTAGGTAATAAGATGTACTTTTGTGTATCTGTCTGATAAAGGCACATGAGCCCTGTCCAAAGCTTTAAGGAACATTATAGCTACATGAAATATTAATATATTTTTAGAAGGCACTTAGTAAGCTAAATGGAACTATTCATGTTTATTAGTTAAAGGGTTTGTATTTAAGAAGTCCATTCTGTAAAAAAGTAAATAATAGTCCATTTTGTAGTCAAGGAAATACTCCTAGATCTCTAGCCATTTACCATTTATTCTTAGCTGCCAGAAAGTCTTAACAGTTTGGTGGTTTGTATTTGCTTTGTTTTTTTGGTTGACTGTTGTTCAGTAAACTCACCTAACTAGTTTTCTTCTTATGCCCCTCAGGAATACTTTAAATTATGCCCAGAAAACTTTCGAGATGAGGATGTTTTTGTTTGTGAATCACGGTATTCTGCCAAAACCAAATCTTTTAAGAAAATTAAACTGTGGACCATGCCCATCAGCTCAGTTAGGTTTGTCCCTCGAGAAGTACCCCTACCTGTAGTCCGGGTGGCATCTGTATTTGCAAATGCAGATAAAGGGGATGATGAGAAGAATACAGACAACTCAGAGGACAGTCGAGCCGAAGACAGTTTTAACTTGGAAAAGGTATGTAGATAATAGCTACATAGAAAAGAATTTTATATCTCAAAATGTCTATTTCAGAAAATACATGAATAAAGTATTCAGACTCAGAGTTAGAAAAAGAGCAACAATATAAAACCTTAACCAAACAGAAAAAAGGAAACTATAAAGGAAAAAAAGAAATTAATACTTAGAAAACAGAATTGAAAAGTAGAAGTTAAATGTAAATCCAAGAGCTAATTCTTTGACAAGTCCAATGAGGTAAACTACCAACTTTTCTAATAAAGGAAAAAGAAAGCAGTTAATCTCAGACACATAAAATGTGGAAGAAATTGAAAGACTATACATTTCTGCTAATAAATTTGAAAACCCAAATAAAATGAATAATTTTCTAGGATGTTACAAGTTACCAAAATGGAATCAAGAAGAGATATAACACGTAAGTGGACAACAACATAAAGAAATTGAAAAAAGTGTCAAAGAGCTAACCCCAAAGAGTATGGAGGTCAGATAGGTGAATTTTTTTTAACACTTCAGGGTACCTATAATTATTATGCCATTTAAACTATTTTAGAGCATGGAGAACAAAAAAAAATTCGCAGTTTATTTTACAAAGCCAGAATAATCCTAATTTCACAACCTGACTAAATGAAAATAAAAAACTATACCCCTGTCTTGTTTATGAATATTGATGCAAAAATTACTTGGGGGAAAAAAGCATTTTTATAAGTGAAATTAAATTAGTTCTTTAAGAACCACATGACCAAGGAGGGGGGTAGTTCATCCTAGGAATGCGAGAATCATTCAAAATCAGGAAAATCTTTCCATTTCATTATATTAATAGATCAAAGGAGAAATTATTTGGTAAAGTACAATAGCCATTTTGACCTTTTAGAAATCTTTAGGTATATGTTTTCTCAATGTGATTTTTTAAAAATTATATTCATGTCTTAAGACTAAAGCTTATAAAACAAATTCCCTTTTAAAGTTATACACTGGACAAAGGTCCTTGCTGTACCACCATTACCTAATATTTTTCTAAAAGTAGCCAATGCAGTTAGATAAACAAAAGGAGTAAAACTATTGACAATAATTAGAAGCAACTTTTTTTTTTCATGGGTGTATATTCATGGAAAAGCTTTTGGAAACAAAATTCAGCAAGTACAAATTTCAAAATCCATATGTAAATTAATAGAATTTTTCTATAAATACAACAATAATTTGTAAGACTTTTCAAAGTAAAGTGAAAGCGTTGGATACATTACTTTGGCAACTGTTAGAAAAATCTTAAGAAAACAAAATTCAGCAAGTACAAATTTCAAAATCCATATGTAAATTAATAGAATTTTTCTATAAATGCAACAATAATTTGTAAGACTTTTCAAAGTAAAGTGAAAGCGTTGGATACATTACTTTGGCAACTGTTAGAAAAATCTTAAGAAAGTATCTAATCCACATTAACAGCAAAATACATTTAGATATTACCTTAACAAGGAATATACAGAATCTCTAGGAAGAAAAAGTCAATTTATTGATAGAAGAGAGAGCTTTGCCTTGCCAGGTACTATTACATTTTATTAAACTACAATTAAGAAAAAATAATTGAGGTACTAGCTCACGACCACTCAGTGGAAGGAATGGGCTTTTCACAATTAAATCTAAGAATAAATGGTTAGTGAATATAAAGGTGGCATTTTAAATCAGCAGAGAGAGCATGGAATCAAACAGTATTGGAGAAACTGGTAACCATTTGGAAAAAAAACACCTGGAGTCTCCCTTACTCCCTATTCCAAAACAAGTGAGATGTAAACATGAAAAATGAAACCATGAGAGTGCTAGTTGCTAGCATAAGTACATTTGTTATTTACTTATAATTTTTGTTTTTTTCATAAGCTTGCAATGGAGGAGGCTTTTCTGTGCATGATAAAAAAACCCAGTAGCCGTAAAAGAAAAAACAGTGATCATTTTATTGATTTATAATTGAAAATATCAGTCAGGCTAATGAAACATTCTAAGGACTATTCTTTTTTTTTTTTTTTGTCTTTTTCGTGACCGGTAAGGGAATCGCAACCCTTGGTGTGGTGTTGCCCACACCACGCTCAGCCAGTGAACGCACCGGCCAGTCCTATATAGGATCCAAACCCGTGGCGGGAGCGTCGCTGCACTCCCAGCGCCGCACTCTCCCGAGTGCGCCACGGGCTCGGCCCTTCTAAGAACTATTCTAATATACAAAGAGTTCTTTGAAGTCTAGGGAAAAAAGTAGCACTGGAAAAATGGGCAAAAAACGTAGTACTACAAAAATGCCAAATAGGTAATTCACAGAAGGAAGGCAACCAAAAAAGCATAAGAATATGTGTTAGTTAACCTAGTAGTTTAAAAATGCCTAACAGGTTGGCAGGAATTCAAAAGACTGATAATACATGCAGCCTGGGAATATCACACACTCTCATCTCCTGTTGGTGGCATCCCATTTCCTTTGACCCAGCAGTTTGATAGTGAGGTATGTGTTCCAATGGTAGTATTCAAACAGGTGCTCCAAAGAATTTTCTAAAAGGGGTGACATCAGTGTTGTTTATAAAAGCAAAAACCCTAGGCTCAACCCAAATGCCCAGAAATAGAAATTGAATAAGGTATCACACATCCATGTAATGCAATACTGTGCAGCCAATGAAAGGAATAATGTAGATCTATATATATAGTAATACTGAAAATTTTCAACATGTGAGGGAAAAAGACAAGTTAATTACTAACAGGTTAAGGAATGGGATGTGGTCTCATAATTGTGCAAAAAAACAAAATACTACAGACATAGCACCCTGAATGCACTTGATCTTGTCTGATTTGAGAAACCAAGCAGGATAAGGCCTGGTTAGTATATGGATGGAATTCAACCTGGGAATACCTGGTGCTGCAGTCTTTAAAAAAATCAAAAGTATGTTTACATATATGAATGGGAAAACAACACAGAACATAATACTAAACTGGAGTGATTATTTTTGGAGTTGGATCACAGAAGACTTTCATTTATTAAGTTTTACATGCTCTAATGTTTGTTTGAATTATTTCCAAAAAATATACTGCTTGTATAAAATCAAGAAAGATAAACGTTTTTAGGGCTGGCCCCGTGGCTCACTCGGGAGAGTGTGGCGCTGGTAGTGCCGAGGCCTCAGGTTCGGATCCTATATAGGGATGGTGTGCTCACTGGCTGAGCATGGTGCAGACAACACCATGCCGAGGGTTGCAGTTCCCTTACCAGTCAAAAAAAAAAAAAAACGTTTTTAACCTGTTAATAAGGGGCCGGCCCGGTGGCACACTCGGTAGAGTGCGGCACTTGGGAGCGCGGTGGGTTCGGATCCCATATAGAGACCAGTCTGCTCACTGGTTGAGCCGCGGTGCGGGAGCGACACCGAGGGTTGCAATCCCGTTGACGGTCACAGTACAGGCACGACACCAAGGGTTGCGATCCCGTTACTGGTCACGAAAAAAGACAAAAAGGAAAAAAATGGGCCGGCCCGGTGGCGCACTGCTACAGTGCGCTACTTGGGAAGCGTGGCGGCGCTCCCGCCGAGGGTTCGGATCCCACATACAGACCGGCCGCTCACTGGCTGAGCGAGGTGCGGGGGCAACACCGAGGGTTGCGATCCCATTGCCGGTCCCGGTCCGGTGCAGGCGTGACATTGAGGGTTGCGATCCGTTGCCGGTCACGAAAAAAGACAAAAAGAAAAATAAATAAATAGGAAAAAAAAAAAAAAAAACTGTTAATAAGAAAATTGTAAAAAATTGAATTCTTTTTTTTTTTTTTTTTAAAGGATGACCGGTAAGGGGATTCAACCCTTGGCTTGGTGTTGTCAACACCACGCTCAGCTAGTTAGCAAACCAGCCATCCCTATATAGGATCCGAACCCGTGGCCTTGGTGTTATCAGCACCGCACTCTCCCGAGTGAGCCACGGGCCGGCCCAAAAATTGAATTCTTAACATCTTAGGAAAAAACATCCATTTTAGTGTCCTAACGGTTACAAAAGAAAGGGACTGATACTTTTTACATTTTAGTAGTGTGTATGCGAATCATAGAATTATTAATTTTAAAAGAAGGAATATCTGTGGAAACCAATGTGAGAATTAACTTAGATTTGTTGTCTAGTATTCATAAGTCTCCAGGGTCCTTTTTGTAAATGAGTTACTTGGGTTTTTTTGAGTCTTGTATCTTTATTTTAATATTACATGACCAAGACAAGTCATTCCAGGAACTTTTTTAAAGAATAACTTTAGAACAAAATCCATTCCTAAAAGAAAAAGATATTCTTAATTTCAAGAGTTATTTTATTTACAGCTTCCATTCCTTTAAGTGTCCTTCACCCAGCATAAATATGGGACTTCCCTCATTCTTAAATATTTTCCAAGAAGGCCATTTCAGTATTATATCTGAAGTCATAAATATGAGAACATTAAATTATTCAGACACCCTAAAGGAGATTTTATTTTTAAGTGTAAAGGTTGTAATATCAGAGAGACAGGGAGATGCAGTAGAAAATTTGAAGCTCTGGAGTTTCCTTAGCTTTTATATGTTTTGCATTTATATTTAAAACACCTAGTCCTGTGCCCATTTATCTACTGGGTTCTCAGTAAATGATAGTTCTTCTTTATGCTAGTCAGAAGTATCTTCTTTTTTCTTTTTCCTTTTTTAGCCAGGACTATAAAACAACAGCAATAATAATGAATGTTTAAGTGTTTTTCATGAGTCAGGCATTGTTCTAAATACTTCAGCATGGATTATGTCATATAAGCTTTCTCACAACCCCATCTGATGGGCATCCTATCATTATCTTCATTTTATAAATGAAGAAACTAAGGCACAAAAGGTCAGTCAGTAATTTGCCCAGTGTCACAGCAGCTAATAGGTGACAAACCCTGTAATTTACTTAAAAACAGTGTGGTTTATATCTCAGAAGCTATGCTATTCCCTTTCATGTTGTAATAAATCAAAATAATAAAAATTTTAAATCTATCAATTGTTAAGAAATTAAAGGAGCTCAATAAATGTGGTAAAGAGGAAGCTTGTGTAGAATTTGCTCCTTGTACTCTATGATAATGCATGAATAAGTCTGCTTCTAAATGCTAATAAGCCACTCCAGGATTTTTTCTGTTTTTCTAAAGGCTACGGGAATGAGAGGAAGGAGGGAGAGGGGATAAAAGCATTTTGGGGTAACATTATTACATGAAAATTAACTAGAAATTTAAAACAGATATAATACTTGATAGAACTTAAGTTCGATTTCACCCTAATTTTTTGGTTTCCTAACCTTCATCAAAGCTTCTATTTATGGTTGTTTTTAAAGTTAATACAAAGGAAAATCTGCTTTCCTGTCTTACCTTCTCACTACTCCTTGATTGCTGCCTTTCTTCAACCGGTTTCCTTTACCACAGGAAAAAGAAGATGTCCCTGTAGAAATGTCCAATGGTGAACCAGGTTGCCACTACTTTGAGCAGCTCCATTACAATGACATGTGGCTGAAGGTTGGCGACTGTGTCTTCATTAAGTCTCATGGCCTGGTGCGCCCTCGGGTGGGCAGGTGAGTATCTTTGAAGAAGAGGAAGATAAGGTTGCATCTGAGAGTTTTGGGACCAGTAGAAATTCATCACTCTTGGGATGAAGACAAACATCTCTCCCCTGGCAACTTCTCCAGCTTCCTCTCATACCACACTTCTCCTGCTTTCTCTTCTATCCACAGTTCTTTAAATTCCTCCCATAGGCACTTTCTTTTTCTTCTTCCGCCATTTACTGAACTCCCAGTTCAGAAATCTTCCTGTCCACTTCATATGATAAACTCCTTTAGCTTAAATTTTCAATGGCACTTCCTTTTTTTTTTTTTTTTTTTTTTTTTGGCGACTAGCTGATACAGGGATCAAACCCTGGACCTTGGTGTTATCAGCACTATGCTCGAAACAACTAAGCTAACCGGTCAGCCCCTAAAATGGTGCTTTCTTCAGGAGGCCATTTCTGTCCTCTGCAGACTGGGTTGAGTTTCCCTGTTTGAGTCTCCCTGTTATACACTCTCAGAATACCACATATTTCCTTCTCCTTAGAGTACATATCACAGTTGGTGTTTATTATATTGTTGTCCAGTGTCCATACCCTGAGTTTCCAAATGTCCTGAGAGGAGGAACTCTCTCTTTTTGCTCACCTTTGTATCCCCTGCTCAAATTATAGTGCATAAAACATAGTAGAGGTTCAGATATTTGATGAACAAGTAGATTGATGAAAGGATGGAAGTATGGTTGGATGGCAAAAATGGCAGTGAAGGAGTCTGGTACAGGACTGGCAATAAGGGAGAGTGGTTAATAATAGTAGTTGGTTCCAGGAGATCTTGGTCTAAGTCCTCGCTTTGCTAGTTACATGTCCTTAGGCAAATGACTTACCTCTCTGGGCTTTAGTTTCCTCATTGTATTTGTTCCTCATTCAATAAGCTTTTATTACACCTGCTATTTGCCAGGCTCTGAGGATACATTAGTGAATAAAACAAACAAATATTCTTAGTCCAGGGAGACAACATTCCAGACAGAGGGTATAGCCAGTATATAAAGGCCTAAGACAGAAGCATATTGGGGCTGTTCAAACCAGCAGAGTTTGTTACTAGGGGAGCAAGCCATTCATGAGTTAGGTAGAGGATGAGGGAGGGCCATGGAGTAGGGTTCAAATCATGTAGGGCCTCAGAGACCATTATAGGGACTTGGGCTTTTACTGAGTTAAATGGAGTGCCATTGGATTGTTTCAAGCACAGAAGTGACATTTGACTGAGATCTTATTAGGATTGTTCTGCCTACTGCTTATTGAGAATAGACTGTAAAGAGTCAAGTTTAGAAGCAAGATGATTTGTTAGGATACTGTTGGAATAATTCAGGCAAGAATGATGGTGGCTCAGACCCGGGTGATTATAAAGGATACTATTTTAAAGGTTGAGTTAATAATATTCCTGATAAATGAGATGTGGGTCAGAGAGAGAGAGAAGTCAAGGTGACTGCTGTGTGTTGGCCTGAGGAACTGGTACGGTGGAGTTATGATTAACTGAGATGAGGGTGCTGCTTCATATCAGGAACCGCAGGAATAATGGACAGTATTAGTAACAACTTTATGGGCTGGTTGTGAGGAGTAATATAGTATCTGGCACATAGCAACCAGAAGTTAGATTTTCTTTCTGGAGAGATGGTATCTGGCTTTAATCAAATTCTCAAGGGGTGGGGCCGGCCCGGTGGCGCACTGGATAGTGCGCCGCTTGGGAAGCGCGGCGGCGCTCCCGCCCGAGGGTTCGGATCCCACATACGGACCGGTTCCCGCTCACTGGCTGAGCGAGGCGCAGGAGCAACACCGAGGGTTGCAATCCCGTTGCCGGTCCCCAGTCCAGTGCGGGGGCAACACTGAGGGTTGCAATCTGTTGCTGGACACGGAAAAAGACAAAAAAAAAAAAAAAAAATTCTCAAGGGGTGAAAGGGTGCTAAATCTTGACCTTCAAAAAAGTAATGAACCACTATCTTAAAGGAATATCTGCCACTCATGTGATCTCACCCAAAATGTTGATGGTTTGTGTCTTTCTTCGGCCCACAAGTCCAACGACAGATGCTTAGTTCTGTTTTCATCATAAGCATCTCAGGAAGGAAACCTGGGAGTCAGATAAAACTACTAAGTTATGTACTTTGTTGTTATGTTAAAGTATTTTTTCCCTCAGACAAGTAGCCAAAAATTATCTTTTAAGCTTTTGGTTACTGGAATTTTTATTAATTTTTCAAGTATGAAACTATTTTAATGTAATTTCTCTATTTTTTCCCCCAAGAATTGAAAAAGTATGGGTCCGAGATGGAGCTGCATATTTTTATGGCCCTATCTTCATTCACCCAGAAGAAACAGAGCATGAGCCTACAAAAATGTTCTACAAAAAAGAAGTGTTTCTGAGTAATCTGGAAGAAACCTGCCCCATGACATGTATTCTGGGTAGGTATTTATGCTTTTTCATTTAATCACATTCATTCCATAAAAATTTATTGAATATTACTTCTGTGTTAGGTATTGTTCTAGGTGTTAGATATACAGCAGTGAACAAGTCAAACTCTCTTCTATCTTTTTTTTTTTTTTTTTTCCTTTTTTTTGTCTTTTTTCGTGACCGGCAATGGGTCGCAACCCTCAGTGTCGCGCCTGTACCGGACCGGGACCGGCAATGGGATCGGCAATGGGATCGCAACCCTCGGTGTTGTCTAGGTGTTAGATATACAGCAGTGAACAAGTCAAACTCTCTTCTATCTTTTTTTTTTTTTTTCCTTTTTTTTGTCTTTTTTCGTGACCGGCAATGGGTCGCAACCCTCAGTGTCACGCCTGTACCGGACCGGGACCGGCAACGGGACCGGCAACGGGATCGCAACCCTCGGTGTTGCTCCCGTACCTCGCTCAGCCAGTGAGCGGCCGGTCTGTATGTGGGATCCGAACCCTCGGCGGGAGCGCTGCCGTGCTTCCCAAGCGGCGCACTGTAGCAGTGCGCCACCAGGCCGGCCCAAACTCTCTTCTATCTTAAAGACTTCCACTGGGGCAGAGGTTGGGAGTCAGTAAATAAATTTTAAAATAAATATATAAAATATCAGGTGGTAATTAGGACTATGAATGAAAATAAAGCAAAGTGAGAGGATAGAAAGTAGTGTTGAGGTGAGGTCCTGTGGTCAGCAAAAGCCTTTCTGATAGGTGGCTGTGAGTAGAGCCCTGAAGAAAGTGAGGAAGAAAACCATTTGAATATCTGAAGTTTTACTCCCTTTTAGGCACAGCAGATGCCAAATGCAAAGCTTAAGGCAGAGTATCTGGGCATGATCAGGACACAGTAAGAAAGCTAGGTGGCTGGAGCAGGGCAGGGGCATGTAGGTGATGAGCCCTCTGAGGACACCCAGTCATGATAGGCCTTAAAGTCAGTGTGGAGATTAAATTTGGAGTGGATAGGAAATCCTGGAAGGGTTTTGAGCAGAGTGGTGGTGTGAACTGACATGCACATTAGAGGAATCGCTGCAGCTACTGTATGAAGAATATGTTGTACAAAGGCAGGAAACAAGGAGAGCAATCAAAAGACTTACAGTCTCTGTTGGACTCTTAGCCCTGGTAATGTTATTGTCCCCATTCCATATTCATGTTTTAGTTTCTGTTCTCTCATCCTACTGAGCGTTCACGGTGGCATTCTGTTTCTTTGATCTAGTTGTATGCATTGTATACCAGCATTATTTTCAGCTACTTTGTTTCTTCTGGCCCTAAGTAAACTGTTGCTTAACTTATGCCAGCTATTCTATACATCTTTTGGAATGATTTTCTAAAAGGTTACTAGTCACAGGCTTTACATTGATTGCTCGTGGTTTTAAAGAAGCCACCATGCTCACAACCAAAAAGAAATTTGCAGATTAAAAAGTATTTTATACTTGGACTTTGATTACTTTAATGTTTACTAGGTTGTTTTGTTGCTTTGAATTTCAGAATTGGACATGGTAAAAGTGTCTAAACAGCTGATAATTCAGCACATTTTCCCCTTTCCTCCCTGGGGAGAGAGAACAAAGAGCAGTAAAGTTATTAAATCCTTCTAGAGTCTCTGTAGCAGAAAATGTCTTCGTTTTAGGTTGTGATTCAGACTAAAGCAGTGCCCCAGAGCCTTACTTCCTGGTGTAAACCCAGCCAGGAGACCCAAAAGGAGCATAACAAAGGTGGGACTGCAATCTTCTTTGGTTAGGGCAGCCATATTGTTTATCTGTTTATTGTTTTTTAGTTATTTAGTTAGTGGTTACTTTGAGGATTACAATTAACATCTTAAATTTATGACCATCTAGTTTGAATCAATACTGACTTAGTTTCAATAGTATATAAGAACTCTTCTCCTATACAGCTCCATTCCTCCCCCTCTGTGGTGGTGGTGTCACATTTGTGTGCCCATCAACAGATTTTTATGCATTGGTCTTTTAAATCATATAGGGAAAAAGAGAGAAGTTACCTAAACTATAGTAATACTGGCTTTTTTATTTATGCATATATGGTTACCTCTATTGGTGTTTTTTATTTCTTTGTATAGGTTCAAGTTATTGTTTAATGTCCTTTCATTTCAGCCTGAAGGACTCTCTTTAGAAGTTCTTATGGAGCAAGTCTGCTGGTGACAAACTCCCTTATCTTTTGTTGTCTGGAAATGTCTTAATTTTTCCTTCATTTTTGTAGGATAGTTTTGCTAGATATAAAATTCTCAGTTGACAGTTTTCTTTCTTTCATGTCTTTCATCAAATTTGAGAGGTTTTTGGCCATTATGTCTTCAAATATTCTTTCTACCTCTTTCTCTCTTCTCCTTCTGGGACTGCCATTATACCTATGTTGGTACACTTGATGGTGTCTCACAGATCTCTTATACTTTTCATTTTTCTTCATTCTTTTTTTCTTCTCCTCAGACTGGATAATTTCAACTGACCTATCTTCATAACACTGATTTTTCTGCCTGCTCAAATCTTCTGTTAAACCCCTCTAATAAATTTTTCATTTCAGTTATTGTACTTTTCAGCTCCAGAATTTCTATTTAGTTTTTATAATTTCTGCCTCTTTATTGATATTCTCTATCTGGTGAGACATCGTTCTGATTTCTTTTGGTTCTTTATCTGTGGTTTCCCTTAGTTCTTTGAATATATTTAAGACAGTTGTTAAGTTTTTGTTTAGTAAGTTCATTGTCTGGGCTTCCTCAGTAACAGTTTCTATTAAATTCTTTCTTTCCTATGAATAAGCCATACTTGTTTTTTTGCATGCCTTGTAATTTTTTGTTGAAAACTGGACATTGTGAATATTATAATATGATAACTCTGGAAATTATATTCTCTCTCCTTTTCAGGCTTTTGTTACTGCTCGTTATGGGTTGTAGCTGTTTGTTCAGTGACTTTTCTAAGCTGCTTTTTGAAGATTGTATTTTTTGTTGTGTGTGGTCACTGAAGTCTGTGTTCTGTTAGCTTAGTGGTCAGCTATGTGTGGTTACCGAAGTCTCTGTTTTATTAGTGTAGTGGTCAGATGTTTCTAAAATGCCTGAAACCAAAACCAAAAAACCTCCCAGTCATTTCATCTGGGTTCTCTATGTATGTTGGAGCACACCTTCAACACTCAGCCATGCAGTTTACAACTCTGCCTTTGCCTTTACTTCCTGCTTGCGCAGAGCTTGAAAGTCAGCCAGAGTTTATGGCCTTCTCAGGTCTTTTCTGGGCATGCACCCTACTGTTGGCATGTGCATGGCCTTGTAGGTTTCCAGGAATATATGGAAACTTTTCAAATCCTTATTCCCCAAAGCATCTCAATCCTTCCCTTTTCTTCCAGGCTTTTTGGCATATTTACTGTTTGCACCATCTTATATCCTTGCCCCAGTTGGTAACAGCTGGTGCATTTGCCTTTAAATGTGCTATGGTTTGAATGTTTGTGTACCCTCCAAAATTCATAGGTTGAAACTTATTCCCATTGCAACAGTGTTGGGAGGTGGGGCTTTTGCCCCAGTTGGTAACAGCTGGTGCATTTGCCTTTAAATGTGCTATGGTTTGAATGTTTGTGTCCCCTCCAAAATTCATAGGTTGAAACTTATTCCCATTGCAACAGTGTTGGGAGGTGGGGCTTTTGGGGAGATGTTTACCTCATGAGTACTCCGCCCACCCTCATGTATAGATGAATGCTGTTATAAAAAGGGCACGCAGAAGTGGGTTTGCTCTCTTTTGTGCTCTTACCCTTCTGCCTTCCACCATGTGATGACACAGCAAGAAGGCCCTCACCAGATGCCAGCACCTTGATCTTGGACTTCCCAGCCTCCAGAACTGGGAGAAATAAATTTCTGTTCTTTATAAATACCTCAATCTGTGGTATTTTGTTATAGCAGTACAAATAGACTAAGATAGAAAGTTGGTACCAGAGAAGTGAGGTGTTGCTATAACAAACACCTGAAATGTGGAAGTGACTTTGGAACTGGGTAATGGGTAGAGGCTTGCGAATTTGGAGGAGCAGACTAGAAAAAGCTTAGGTTTTCATGAACAGAGCATTAAGGGCAATTTTGGTGAGGGCTCAGAAGAAGAGAACTATAGGGAAAGTCTGAAACTTCTTAGAGATTACCTAAGTGGTCATGGTCAGAATGTTGGTAGAAATATGGATGGTAAAAGGCTGACCAGTTAGCTCAGTTGGTCAGAGCAAGGTGTTATAACACCAAGGTCAAGTGTTTGGATCCCCATACCAGCCAAGGGCAAAATAAATAAATAAATGAATAAATGAAATACAGATGGTAAGGGCAATTCTGATGATATTTGAGACAAAAATGATGAACAAGTTACTGGACACTGGAGCAAAGGCCATTCTTGTTATAAAGTGGCAAAGAGGGCCGGCCCGGTGGCGCACTGGATAGTGCGCCGCTTGGGAAGCGTGGCGGCGCTCCCGCCTGAGGGTTCGGATCCCACATACAGACCGGTTCCCGCTCACTGGCTGAGCGAGGCGCGGGAGCAATGCCGAGGGTTGCGATCCCGCTGCCGGTCCCGGTCCGGTACGGGCGCGACACTGAGGGTTGCGATCCGTTGCCGGACACGAAAAAAGACAAAAAGACAATAAATAAATAAATAAATAAATAA